ATTTTCAAGCAAGTCATTTTCAGAAGGTTATTTTCTGAAGGCAAGGTTTATGGCAATCTTAAAGACACAGATTGGCAATTTTTTGTTTTTTGGATAATTTATTATTCTATTTTATTTTTTTCCCTCCTCCTTTCTGTGTAATAAACGGTGATTTTATTGTGGCATTTTTTGTTTTCTTTTGTATAGTTTTATTCAATCTCACAAAGTAGGATTAAACCTTTTTCCCAGCTTTTTTCTTAAGTGATTTGTGAGTTTCCGTTTTGCTAAGATAATATTGTGTATTTTTTTCCTTCCCTTTGATTTATATTTCATCGTAAATTATTCCAGGCCAGTAATTACGTCCATAGGAGGTAAATAATTCCGTATTGCTTGGAATTTTTCTGGTTTAATACAATTTCAAATCTCCTGTGATGATTGAATTAATGGTAATAATAATTAATAATTAATTTTCCACTTTTTTTTTGTCGTTCACATAACATGGTGCGTGATGTGTTGTTTTGTATGCATCAATGCATTTGCTTTTTGCTTTATTCCCAATTGCAAATCATGCACAGTGCTGTTCTGTTTTTTCCATATATCATGTCAATGTTTCTTCTGTTTCTTTTTTCCCTCTATATTTTGCAATAAACATATTTTTGTTGATCTGTTTTTTAAAAGTTAGTTAACCATTTGCAGCATCTGCAATACTAGATTTTTTCATTCGGAGATTATTTTGGAGATTATCGCTGTTCTTTGTTGCATTTTTTTTGCATTTGACATTTTGGATTTTAATCTTTTTTTGTTACAGCCATTTTTCTCTTAATTTTTTAGTAAATAAATTTTAATTCTGAAACAATTGTCAAAATGATTTTCTGTAAATTTTATCATATTTTCATTTTTGCTTTTAACATTGCTGCTAATATTTGGAGTTTTTAATTGCATCACCTTGTATCTATTTTTTAGAATTTCAGGAGTAAAATTTACTACATTATCATCTCTTTTGTAAAAATCAGTAATATAAAAGAATACAAAAGGTGATATTCAAATTGTCTCATCATTGTCTCATCATTGTCTTCGACATCGAACGTTGTATACTTATCTCCTTGTATAAAGTATACTTAATTTGTAGGGATAATATCCACGTTAATGAGATATGGGAAGTGTGTGTTTAAGGCAAAAGATCCTTTTTTGACATTAAAATGCAATTGTGTAGTGGTTGATCATTTGCCTAATGCTGAAATAGGTGCATGCATAAAAGTGGATAATAAAAAAATCTGGAATTAACTAAATTTATAAAAACTAGCTAAATTTATTAAAAAATTACATTTAGATATTCCTGATGGAGTGACTGAAGAGGACAGAGAAACTCAAGAAAAAGAAAAAATTAATTTTCCAAATTGCTGCTGTTTTGTTTCGTCCGTACAATTGATGAAAAATTATGAATGATTTATCTGAAGATGATGTGAGAAGATTAGTAAGTGCTTTATCTAAACATCGTGAAATTTTACAAGCGAATGATAATACGTCATTCTCGTTGGAGCAAATTCATGAAAAAAGAAAAAAATTATGAAAAATTTAAAAGTAAAACAATGTATGTATTTAATGTACCCAGAATTCAAGACATGAGTATCTTTGATTTTATTGATAGTTTAAAAGAACTTTTTGAAGCGCTTTTGAGTGTCACACGTTTAAACAGCACAAGTGATAACAACTATGATGTTTTGTTTTTTTAAATGCGCCTTCATACCCGTTTTTAACACCTGTTGTGAAATTGAGTGAATTGTCATTGCAATTTTTCTTGGATATGTTTTCAAATATAATGCAAAGTGGAGGTAATGCAGTTGCAGAAGGGTGAACAACATTGATTTCGATATTTTCACCGGAACATGTAAAAGCTAAACGGAAAAAAAACTAAAAATAATAGAAAATAAAAAACTTGCACGTCTCTGGGTAAGGAGAAAGACAATTCAGATGGTTCGATTTTCAAAAAAAAATGGTAGAATGTTGATTAATGTTTTTACGGAAGAAAATACTTACGAAAAAATTAACTTTCCCGTTGGGAAAGTTTCAGGATCAAATTATGAGTCAGTCCATGAAAATTACCTAAAACAGGAAAATGTTGATCTTGTTGTCAGGGCCGTCCTCAGGATATTTTACAGGGGGGTGTAAGGTCATCTTAACCGACTGATCGACGGACTTGTACCGACTACACTCTGGATGAAACTTTGTCAAGTTTATATTGGATCGGTCTATAAAATAGCAATTTTACCGACTAAACCTAGGAATAAACTTTCTGGGGGGGTGTGACACCCCCCCAAACCCCCCCGTAGCTCCAGGCCTGCTTGTTGTTTACTCCAATAAGTATTTTAATCAGATTATTTTTGACACAAGGGTTGATGAAATGGTAACATTTTATGCATAACAAATGATGTTATTATTCTATGGTTGAATAATAGTCATTAAGATATTATTAAAAATTCACAAATTTTCTGCAATAATCAATATTCATGTTTTAGTTGTATGAAACGATTTTCACGTTTTGAATTTCAATACAATCATATTTGCAACCCCACATTATTGTGTAGAAAGTGTTATTCATTGCCAACAAAATGCGTAAAAACATGCAACAACATTAAATGCAGTAAATGTAATTTAATCTTTAACAATCAAAAGTGTTTAAAGGCACATCTTTTTAATAAAATTTTGGAGTCCACAAAGAAAAATGTCAAATTAACACCATGCAATTACTTTTTTCTTTTGTGATACTTGTTTTAAAATTGTCCCACGCTTTTTTTTTTAAATCAAAAGAATAGGTGTAAATTTTATTATCACAGTTGCGTGAAATCATTTTGCGTTAAGTGTAAAACATATGAAAAAGATCATAAGTGTTTCATGAAACCGCTTAGGTGTCCTGAATTTAGGATCCTGCCTATTCGCAGGTGGGATGATTGACAGGACTGGGGGGGAGGAAGAGAGCGAACACATAACATGAGGAGAGACAAACGAAAACGTTTACAAGAGAGTTTAAGTGAATTTTGTATTTTATTTTTACTTTTTCCATATTAAATATTTATTTTTAATTTATGTGAGTGTGTGCCGAATTATGGGTCGGTACATTTGGTGCCGTGACTAGGATAATTACGAAGGAAAACAACAACGAAGTGCGTATATTTTTGCGATATTTGGGCATCCATATTTGTTTATTGTATTATCTTGAATTCGGCGATGCTATTGTGAGTAATCATAACAGACATGATGGGAGACGAAAGCAACGAACAAGTTGAGAGTTTAGGAGACACCGAGCCTACAGAAACTTTGATACAAAAGGAAATTTCGAAGCTAAAATACTATTTGGAAGGGACAGACGAATTGATTCGAACGAATGATGTTGAGGAAATAAAAACAACGGTTAAACAAACATCTAAGATTATGAGCAAGCTTTTGGAGCTTATTTCACAGCTAGAAGAATTCAAGATCGACAGTGGTATTTCACCTAGAACTGTTCGTCAGTGGAAGAGGGATATAAAAGCGGATTATGCAGAATTATTGCTGGACAAGCAGAAACTTTCTGACTTTTTAGAGTCAAGAGAGCGACACATCCAAGAAGAATCTGAACGGCGAAAGTGGGAAGCTAGACAACAACTAGAGGAGGAAGCAGTCACGGAGAGACAAGAACGTGAACGGATATTATGGGAAAAAAACTGCAAGCTGAGTTGGAAATTACTGAGAAGCGTATGGAGCTAGAAAGAGAAGCAAAGTCTACCAGTGCAAAATTGCCAAAATTGAAGATAACCCCTTTCAAGGGAACTACTGTAGACTGGATCCGTTTCGAGAACATTTTTCTGACCCAAATTCCCATTAATCCGTTATGGTAACTACATGTCACGATACAGTACCTGTTACGATGGCCTGAATAAATTTCGTTGTTTGTGTATTCTGGTATGTTAGTGCCACTTTCACGGTTATTGTCAGAGTCATTTCCGTCAAGATTTTCATTGTTGTTTCCATTGTGTGCATCATCGACAGTAATTTGGATGACTGGCATCTGGGGATTGTCGGCAACAATAGCTGGTTCATTGGAACTTGTGTTACTTGATAAGAAAATCTACTATCAATAACATTTTGGTGGTGAAGCTTAGCCTCAAAGCCGCCACTTGCCACTACAGCTTTGTCATTCAAGGAATTAGGGATATTTGGCCAGCTGAAAGCTGTATTGGAAACTTTGAGGAAAGACAAAAGTATGTACTGTCTGTTCGTGAAGCAAAACACACTGGGAAGAAAACTATAGATTTGCAATACTTAAGTTTTCAATCTCTAAACTTAAGAGTTTTACAGACTTTTCACTTTCATTATTTGAAACATTCCCGGTTCTCAAAGTATACTTACCCTATGCCAATAATATCAAGGCTTTCTTCTGATGGCGGGCTATCCTCCTCATCTACAGGATTTACACTAGCCTGAGAAAAAGATCAATCGCCTAATATAATACATATGTACATGTAGTTAACTCATCGTATAAACATTTTTTGAACAAATGTGAACATGCTGTGAGCTAAAGTATTAGTAAAATTAGATTTACTTACTGTACATGATGCTATATGCTGTCGGATTTCACAAATTAAAAAAGTTTATCATAGAATAAGCATTCTTCATATTCTTCCAATTCATCCTCTTCTTGATTAACAACCAAACTCTTTTGTATTGGTCGCACATAAATCCGCCCAGTACCCAAGCATCTCAGTTCTTCTGTAGAGCAACTTCTACATCGCACAACCTGTAAATCCGTTCTCGACTTTGGCTTTGTCAAAAGCAGCTCAAACCCCCCACAATCAGCCAGTAAAGGATACACTCTGTGAAGTACAAAAGTTACAAGCTATGCTTACGACATATTACATGTGTAAATCAGTCAATAAGAAATGGTTAAAATTGCTCTCAAACACTCACTTGTGTAACACTTTTCTCACACCGTCTGATTTAGCAGATACAGGAAATGCAACTCTTTTTTCTCCTAGCCCATTATT